AATAACAGCACATTTGAGCAATGCAATTGTAGTGGATAAAATGGTCAATTTTTCCGTGCAGTACTGTACGGATTATACGCTCCTCACCGGTTAAGAGTTTGGCCGAGAGTTGTCTCCTTCCTTTTCTGGCCTAGTGCTGTTCTTTTCTACTTTGAGCCGGTCAAACTGAAGGTTACATCGCTACAGAAAGTAAACGAAGTATATCTACAAAACCAATTGGCAATACTAAAATTAAGGCGATATAATCAATTTATTTAATTAAACTTAATTATTTATTATTTCTTACCTACTTTAGAACTTGCCAACCAATAAACGTTACGGAGCCCTCCCGCTCTTTCTTCTTCAACACAGTGGCAGATACTTTTGCAGGATTAGTACAATATGCATATCCGGGTGACATCGAAAGAGGTTGTTTCCTAGTCGAAAATACGACAGGTTCTAATGTAGAAAAAGTGGCTTCGTATATCAGAACACAGTATAGCGGTGACTCCTGCATGCTATCATATAGTAGTTTCTTAGATCTATACACACCTACTAATATCACTTCAGAAATGAGTAAGTATGACAAATACTTTGCTTTATTGATCCTTTCTCTAGTCTTATTGTTTATTAAATTGCATTAAATAAATGCCCCTTGATATTGTTGGTCACAATTATGAAATCTGCGAACATATAATGAAACAAAAACAGCGACAAAAGGGCTACGGAGTAGGCCCTTTTAGTTTATGTTCTTTTTGTTTACAGTAAAAGTTCCTTATTAACGGTTTCCTTATTCGCGTTTTCATTATTCGCGGGTGAAAAAATTGCAACCCAGTTCCTGTATTCGCGGCTAAAAAATTTATTATTCGCGGATGCAATCGGTAAACAGAAAAGGATTCGGTGTCATTTATTAAAGGGATTAACCGCAGTAGACCGCTCGTGCCTACTGTGAATTTTTCCGAAAACATGGGTTTCTGTTCTAAACATTGTGATTTAACGCTGCGAGATAAATAGGAATGTGATTTTTTGTATGGTAACATACAAAGGTTCACACTAACTCGGTACGTTTTTGGTTTTCAATAATATGGCCATTAAAAGCTTTTACAAATGCTCAATGTTGATGCTTCTTGCATTCAATAGAAATTAAAAAAATAAAAAATTGCCTTCTACAGGCTTTAGAACAAAGCTTTATCTATCTTATTACAAATTTTCAAACCTCTGTTCCAAACATTAAACTAATGATATCTAGAACCGGTAATCTGAATCCCTTAAAGTATCGGCATCTTTTGAGTACAGTTGGCTGGTGACGAGGCGACTTTTTTAAAAGATGTAACCGAGTGGACTAACTTCAAAATTCAATACAAAAAAATCACTAAATTTTTTAAACTCTTACCTACAGCTGATTATAATGATTAATTTTAATTGCGAATTATCATTATATACATCATTTCATTGATTTTATCTTGATACATATTGGTTTTATTTTGGAACCTTAGAACGTACACCTTATGATTCCATATTAATAACTATTCCATATCCACGGTTTCTGTATTCGCGGCATATTTATGGAACGTATACCCCGCGAATAAAGAGCTTTTACTGTATTTTAAGAAATACATTTCCGAAGCTAGCAAGAGCGAACGAAAGCAAAATCATGTTGTACAAGAGTGCTCACGTGGTGTGAACTGATCTGCAAGCTCTGGAGCTCGTACTCGAAGCATCATCCACTTTATATACTGATATCGGTACTTGGCTCCAACGAGAAATTTTATTTAGAAATTCGATCTTGAACGACAAAACATACAGCTGCAAAAATCATAACTAAATTAAAGATGTCTTTTACTTAAATTGTTTGAAAATCCAAATAAATCGACGAAAAAGAAGAATCTATTGTAATGTTCGTGGGTTTAACAAAATTAACTTCTAAGACCGATAACGACAAAAACTATTTATTTACACTAATTATTAATGAACTTAAAAATACTGTTAAATTATTACTAAACTTAGGTTATGAATTATTCTATTTATTTACACTAATTATTAATATCGTCTCTTCCTCTAAATACTCTTTTGTTTACTTTTTGGAACCCTCTAGAAACATCCGGATCGTTTATTTTTTTCTTAGAACTGTTTAACTGCTTTCCCAGAATGCAGGCACGACACACACATTTACAAATACGCCGCACGCGGCTAGTCGGCGAATCGATAACCTGCTCACGCACACAAACACGCTCGTGCTCGCTACACTATCATGCATATTACTTTAGCGTGCTGTATTACCATCGTTAAAGAAGCTTCGCATTAGACTTCCTTATAGTATGATGGATAACCTAACCTAACTTTGCTTAAATGCTGTAACTGTCGGCTTTTTTCAGAGAGACAGGTCAATTATCTTTGGTCAATTTTGATTACACGAAAGATTAACCTTTACCCACGAAATGTCGGACAATATGTCGAGAATAATTTTACAAGAACGTTGATTCTCATTTTTCTTTATAAATACCAATGAATAACTAAAACAGTATCCTGTTCAGCCGTTTTAGAGATTAGCCCATAAGACAAAGTATGCTAAAAACATGCAAATAACTAAGCATTGACTGAATATTACATACATGCACTTCCATACGATACCTACAGACGTAAAGATATATTCATACGAGGTGGTAACTTCTTACAGCTCGCCAGTGGCTCTATCAAATTTGTACAGAATTTGGTTGGTTTCAAACATCGACATCCAATAAACAACCTTTTGGTAACACGTTTCCTTTGGACTTCTATATTCAACTTTGTAAAGACTTATTCGGAGTGGAGTAAGTATGAACACAATTAATATAAACAGACTAAGATATAAAGCCCATGATTGGAATCAGAGTTTATTGAAAGAGTTTTATGTGTATTTCATGTTATTTATGCGCAGCCAGAAGTATTAGAACAAACAATTCAAAATTTTCATGTGTTTACATTTTTGAAGGGTGAAAATTAGGAAATGTCATGTGGGATAGGGAAAAGATAACGGTAAAAATGATTATCTCAGTAGGAAGGAATTGTTTGAGCGACAGTTAGAGGTAAAGTTTTTATGGGGGTGGTGGTCTGGGGGGAATGGTGAGAAGAACAAAAACAGATGAAAAACGTTAAAATAGGGAAGATGAGAGGGTTAGGATGGGCGCGTCTGTGGAAGAAATGTTGAGAGTAAGATGTAGTATAATGATAAGGGGGGGGGTGATTTATGAAAAAGTAATAGGTCGAAATATGTGGACTATATTAAAGCCTTACTATGGGAGCATTAGATATTGAGATAATAGCAAGGTTTAGAATAGGAAAAGAAAGTAGAGGTTGTAAGTATTAGACGAAGGAACAGTAAAGGGTAAATATAGAGTATGTAAAAGTAGGAACGAAATAGTCATGCATGAGCTCGGAAAATGTAATGGAAGTAAATATTTAGATGAACGTAGAGGAGTAATAAATAGGGGCAGTGATGGGATGATCTTGTTGAAATAAGTACTTGATTACGTTGATAATAATTGATTTTTTTTGTATTTATATGTATAGGGTTGTTCGGAAACTCATTTCGTTTTTTTTTGTGGAAATGAAAGACAGTTTTCGTATAATAAACAAATACTTTATTAAATCATATGTTGACCGTTCTGGTCCAACACCTTTTGTCATCTTTCTGATAGTAGCTTAATTCCACGCTCATAAAATTTTTGGTCTTTGCTGGCAAAAAACTGATCGAGGAGGTTTTTGACCTCCTCATTTGAGGTGAAGGTTTTACCGTCTAAAAAATTTTGGAGTGACCGGAACAAATAATAATCCGATGGTGCCAGGTCT